CTTCCTGAATGTTGCAGATACTGAAAAAGAAAAATTGTGGTCAAATGCTGCAACTCTTGGCATGAAAACACACTCAAAATTCCACATTTTGGCTGAAACAAGCCTGCTGGGTAAACCTCAAACATAAAATTCTTGGTTTCACCATAAAGCCTGGAACATACAAGTCTGGTAGATAAAACTGCTATTGAACAGGAAGGGGAAGCATGACCAGCAGTGCCAGTCAAGAGATGGTTTATAGAACCAAGTAGCAATATTTACTCCCAGTGAGGAGAACTATAACAGCACCGGCTCTTGGGATGCTCAGGACCAAACAGCAGCATACACTTCATAGCCCCATTCCATCACAGGGACTGACAAAATCACTCAATTCAGCAAGGCAGAGTTAAACCTGCAGGGTCAAATCCTCCACTAACCCTTCAAAAGAGCCTGGAGCAGCCCAGGTGGGGCTGGTAGTTTGCTTAATGTGGACTGAGACCAACTGCTGCTGTGGTGGGGTTCATTTCACCTGGTGCTGCTGCCACCACCCCCACTCCCAGCCCTGAGTCAGTCACGCATGCTCCACCATGGGACTTGAGAGGACTGGGCTTTTCTAGCCTGCAATTCATCTCATCTTGCTGTAGACAAGGGTAATGGTCCCCTCAGAGTGCTTTTTTTCTCTGCTGAAAAGAAAATCTAAACACGAGGCTTCAACATCAATGCCTGCAGTGTCAGATTCTGCCTGTCAGAGCCAGGTAATTATATCTGTAATGACCAGTGAGATCTTCCATATTGTCACACCTAACAAATAAACCTGGGACAGAGCAGGAAGACCAACTTTGCTACTGCTTGAGCTGGAATCATAATTTATTACTTGTGGAGGAAAAAAAATCAAAATACAGAAATTGGTAATAAAGGAATCAAATGGTCATAAAGGAACCAGAATGTGTACTGCTGTCCAGAAAACCAAAGTGATGATCAGAGTGTGTCCTGGCTGTGGAGCAAATTAGCTGAAGCAGTTACCGTGCAACTTGAATTCATGGACTGTGGCCCAAGGATGGAAAAATCTTGGTTGGCAGTGGGGCTGATCTGTATCATGTCCTGGCTCACCACTGAAGTGCAGCTTTGCTGTGCAACAACCTCCCACCTCTATTTTCCCCTTTATCAATTGTGCAGAATTCATACAATATTTATAGCATGGGAGGAGTATTATAGTGATGGGGGGGTGATGCCATTTCTCTAATGTTTGTTGACTTATGGCTAGAATGTGCAATTCAACAGCTGAGGAATGTATCATTTCTATTCATGCTGCACTGCTCAGAAGTGTTCACATTTCAGTCCATGTCAGCTGAACAAAGGTAGTCATATCCTTGGACGCTTGCCACTGCAGCTATGTAGAAGAATTATGGTGCCTTGAACATTTTATGATCTCTGATGATAGCAGCATTTACACTGGGCTGATGGTTCAAATTAATCTGATTTTCAGAAGTTAGAGCATTTAATTAGGATTGGTAATAAAAATTATAGCATTGAAGAAGCATTGTGACAGCATCTGTCCTGATCCGGGGGGTGGAGGGAATCAGGATCTTTTTAAAAAGCAATAAACTATTACATTTGGTTAGTCACAACCAAAGAAAATGACCTTCTGGAACAATAAACAATAGATAGCAGCTGCCTCATCTTTGGGGTGGAAAGACACTTGATAATTTTGCACCTCAAAACATTTCTTTGATGTGTTGTAAAACCCACTCAACAACACATATCCCTTTCTGTACATTTTCTAAGCAACTACATCCTAGCACTCCATTTTTGCTTTTATTGCCTTTCAGACTGGTGAGAGCAATATAATGATTCATCATTAAAGTACTCCTTAAGCAGCTTTGTTCCTATTTGTTGCTATATATATTAAATAGAAATTGCTCTTTGAATTCACCTCTAAAGTCAGACTCAGTTTTTTACCTAACAAGAATGGTATCTCCAGTCATCATCTGAATCTAGCAAAGTGAGAAAACCTTTTGCATAATATAAATATCTGCATTCTCTAAGAGGAGACTGATGCCACCACCTACTGTGAATGCATTTTATAAGTGGTACAAAACCATATAGAATTCAAATGCAGTCTCTTCAAGACACTCCAGGCACTCTCAGAAAGGAACAGTTTTATCTCCAACTAAACAGTTTCTGGACCACAGGCTTTACTCACCTGTAGCTGGTTTACAAGCAGCATACCGACCATAAAAATGTAATGGTTGCTGAAAGTGTAGGTACCTAAAGACAGGCCTTTGTTTAAATCCCTACAGAAACCAGGGGAATCACTCCCTATCAAATAGTTATTTCTTTGGCCTGTCTGTTACCCATCTCCTCACCACCTGTGACTGATAAGCAGCACATGACTCCCCAGCTATTCCAGCATGGCTGGGCAGGCACAGGACCTAATGGGTAAGGGCAGGCATTTTCTCCAAAAGGGCAAACCTGCAGAGATCCCAGCATCTCTGCTGCCAGGCGAGCATTGGGCCCACAAGAACATCAAATTTAGCCCCTTGTTGCAGAGGGGCACAGGGGGAGTCTCTGCCCTCTGTCTCCAGGGTGGGCAGAATGTGACTGCCAGGCAGGGGAAGGTGATCAGAACAGTGTGTGACATAAAATGCTTGCCAGTCCCCATTTAATAAACTTAAGTTTTAAAAATTACCATTATTAATTCTCAACTTCCACATAGTTAGAGTTCAATACAGAACTTCAGTGCTGAGCAGAAAGGCTGCTTAGAAATGATCAGTGGTTCAAATACATTGGTTTTTTTTCCCTGAGCAGATGCAGGTAAGGCTGTAAGGAAGATATTCCCATCCACTTCTTCAGAACATAGCACATGGAAATACACCCCAAGATTTTGATGTTCTTGTAGAACAACCTTTTGAAAAGACAATTGCTGGAAAAGAGGCACAAAGATGACCAAAATAGTTGCTGGCCAGCAAGTGCCCAATCTAATTCTGAATTTTGAAATCTTAAGAACCATTTTGCTTTGATTCAGCCAGTTCTAATCACCATTCTGTCTGTGTGCAAACAGCAGTAAATGGGATGACTAATACATATTCTTTTCAAATGTTTCCTGCACTGACAATGGTGTTACTTAATGCCCACCATGTTTTAGTAAGTGCTGTTCTAAAAAGAAGTCATTCAGATGACATACCAGTTCTGGTGAGATTTCACTGAAGGTTCATACATTTGTGTTTTCACTACTCTGAGGAAAGCTAGAAGATTTTTCTCCTCTTTGGAGAAATAAGAGTTGCTATGGAGTACCTAGTGCGTGGCTAAGAAGGGATCCTCTTTCTCAGAACAGAGAGCAGCTGCTTCCCAGGTATCACCACAGCCTGGCAGGGATTGTGGCTTCTTGATTCATGCACAACAACAAATCCATCAGACTTGCTTCTGCACCTCCAACCCAGAGGTCTTGCAGAGCAGAAGAGGTCTTCTCTACTGGATCTCAGAGGACATACAAGTGTCCCATTCTGGCAAAAAGAGAAGGGAACAAGTTCTTGACTGCATTTAGGCTGAATTACAGAAAGAAAAAGAAAAAAAAAAAAAAAAAAAAAAGGGTGGGGGGGAATTCTACTCCAGACTGCCTTATGAGATATGTCAGTGCTGAGTCAAACACAGCACAGCAGCCCTGGGGAAACTGAGGAGGCAATTACAAATGCTCTGACAAAAATGCTCAGGCAGCAACATGTTCCGGTTAAGAATGTGTTGCTACCTGAGCAAAGAAAACAAAAGTGACTAAAGTGATTTACAGTGCAGATGACAGTGCTGCTCTTTTTCCTGAAGAGTGCAGTCATGAATGACACATTTGTTCTGCCAGGGTGCCACAGAAACATTTCTGAGACTGTTACACAGCAATGGCACTGTTGGCTGTGCTGTATCAATAGCTCTGCAATGCCAGAAACAAACACAAACCACTCTACACGTGATGCAGGTGCATAATCCAGGCAGCACCTTCCTCTTCTGCACAGCCAGGCTTCCTTGGCAGGGTCTGCACTCAGGAGCCAACAGGCAAATCTACATATGTGGGTCAACCAGGCGAACAAAATCAAAGAGGTATCCAATGCCCAACACTCTGCTTTTCCAGAAAACTGGAAACTTTCATTTCAGCTTAATCTTTACAGAATAAAACTGGAGGTCTCAAGACAAACCAAAAAAGGCACGCCTTGGTGGTGAGAAGGTAACAGTATCAGCTACTGTTGATTTTGTTAGAGATTTCTCAAGAAGGCAACTTTCAAAACAAGCCTAAGTAAATTTGATGGCGCTGACAGATTTTTATTCTCCCAGTTACTGGTGCAAAAAATCCTCAAGCAAAGATTCTGGGTGGTAAAGTAGTTAGAGTTGAACAAAATTCCTCTCCATAGGGCTAAGAAAGCAAAACACAAATCCCAGACTCATACACTGCTGCTTCTAGAACAAATTTCCTTCTCTACTTCCAAACATCAAGATCAACCCTTACGGACTTCAACATTCCCTCTTCCCCAGGGAAGATCACCTTTTTTCTTCCTCTTAGTGTAATTTCACTCCTCAAAAAAACACCAGCTTCCTCTCAGCAGCATTTTCCCTCTCTGTGTGGGTGCCCTCTGTCCTCTCCATGTCCACAGGAGCAGAATGAAGGGACCTGTAGAGTGCAGTGTCCCAGTTTCTGAACCAAAGTATAACCCAGCATACTGCAGCCAACCTCACCGAAAGGTCATATAGGAGGAAGAAGTAAAAGCTCCCAGGTGCATTTCGCTGAGACAGAGGGTAGTTTGTTTAAATTAAGTGCGACAACTTTATTGCCAATCAGAAAAGGTATCATTCAGGTATCCTTTGCCCTCTCCTCCCTGCTGCACACAAAGAAATCACACATATATTTTCTGTCTGGCATTATAGATTGCAAATTAAGCCCTGTTCCTATGGAAAATTTTTTAAAATTTTATATCCCAGACTGCGAAGAGGACCATATCCCCTCACAATAGATCATGGCATATTGCACAGGCAACACCACCTACCTCCGTGAGCCGACAGAGCCAGCAAGTCAACATAATTCCTCTTGGATGGAGACATTTACCCCAGCTCAGACAGCCGGGGCTCTGCTGCCATGCCTGGAGATTCGGACACACCAAGAAGGCATCTTCTGTGAGCAGCACGGTTCCTCTCACACACCGAACTGCAGCAGCAGCCTACGAGAGCAGCAGCGGTTGAATTGCTGCACATGTATCTCTGCAGATTATTTCCTGCTCAAACACTTGGCGTAAAAGCAGATGCTCTTAACCCTCTGAAGGCCCCTGCCTTTGTCCCCCCTCGGCAGAAGAAAGCTAGCAACTCCAAATATTCTGCGGTGAGGCCGGAGAGGAATGACCGGAGACACGGAGGGCATCTTCTGAGAAGTAGTCCCAAGCTCGTGTCAGTTGCAGTCACTTTGTGCTCAGAGAGCCAAGCATTCCCACAGCATCCCCAGCCAGGCACCACACGGCTCCCACTGCATCACCCACTGCAGATCCCCAGGCTCCAGCAGAGCACCGCTCGCAGCTCACGCAGGAGCCCCGGCCAGGGTGGGGCGGCCAGAGGTCTGACCCCGCGGCTGGAGGCCACGGCCCGGGGGCGAGAAGCTGAGAGACACGAGAGGAGCACGAGTGATGCGGCGAGCCCAGCAGCGTGATCCGAGCTCAGGCACGCCGGGCTCGGGGCTCGGGGCTCTGCGGGGCCGGGCGCTGCCCCATCCCCCGCGGGCGCGGGGCGCAGCGCTGCTCGGGCGGCACTCGGCACCCGCGGGCACACGCTGGGCGGGCGGCAGCGCTGCTCCCTCTCACAGCCTGCGAATGTCACTGGGAAGCATGGCTGAAAACATGCTACAATTAACAGGAGGGAGGGAGATACTACTGCTCTCCTGCTAGTCTTAAAGGCACATTGCTCGCATGTGCCTGTTGAGGATGCAAACGCCCGCAGCTTCAGTCCCAGCGTCTCACTCATCTGCAGGCGGCCAAGATGCCCAGGCAGGAGCCCCGTCCGGGTGTGGGGAAGGAGAGCACCCCAGGAGTCAGGAAGTGAAGGGGCAGCCAGCAGGAGTGTCTCCATCAGGGGCTGGGAGGGAGGCCTGGCACACTTTCACCGCTGTGCCGGGAGTCCAACCGAGCCCCTGTCACCCAGCCCGACTGCTCACCCCTGTCACTGGCAGCTTCACCATCATCCCAGCCAGACATGGGGCATACTGGCCACTGCCCCCCGAATCCCATATGGGATTGTCTCCAGCAGGCAAGGAGGGTCTGGTACCCCCTAGGGGCATGGTGTCCCTCTCTGGTCTTGGTAGGAGAGTCAGGTTGCTCCCACTGGGGACACTGGCCCCAGCAGGTGCAGTTTTGCACCTTGGTTTTACACAGCCAGAAGCTGAGGCACTGAAACCCAATGTGTCATATATCCTAAAGCTGTGATGAGTTCAGCAGGTCTTAGACTGGCTGTAGCATCTGGGGCCATAGCCACCTCCCTCCTGCCCCAGGGCTGGGGCCAGCAGGCTCTGCACCAGCTGAATGCCACATACTCTCTTGTCTTCTCATCCCCTCCTCTTAGTGCCTTGGAATACTCTGGTTTGTCCTTTATCACGTCATAGCACAGATACAACAATAACAATGCCAGTAAGTCCAGCCCACATCAACCTTTTCCCTCCCATGCCCCTTCCCCCCCCCCCCCCCCCAAATAGCTGGCATCTGAAACTCAGAAGTCTTCAAAATGGGTGATTTACCCTATTAAAAATCTCCACTTTTTTCTCAGTAGCAGTTGTTGCCATAGATAACATGCTTTTCTGAGCAGGACAAACTAGTGTGAAGCCCTGAACCTTGTCGATCTGCTTTGCATCACACAGCAACCCCTTAGCACCTTTGATTCTCCAAGGCCGTGGAGACACCAAAATTAACCTGATCAATACCTGCCTCCATCACTGAGAAGGAAGCTGTTAGCAGTGTGGATATTTTAGCCTGAGCACACAAAGCCAAAATAAATTACTATGTTGAAAAGTAAGTTAAGCATCCTGTAACTTCATTCCTGAAAAATAGTCTGAAAGGGAAGGCACCCTTAACACAAAACCAGCAAATGCATCACAGCAAAACAAATACTTTCTTTCCTGTAAGGCTAGTAATGTGACCCCCTGATAAAACAAGCACAATGCATGTTTCACTGCTTCCAGGCCATGCAGCTCTGTGCAAAAATACCGCAGTGAATTAACCCAAAAGGGTCTTTATTAAGCATTGCATATCTTAAAGAAAGTCTTTTAAACACCAGACCTACAAAACATGTATAAGTAGTAATCAAAATGCTCGGCAGAGACACTTAAGGATTTATGCTCCTAAAGTTTCTCCCCTGAGTATCAAAGATCATATTTGTTCTCCAGAAGATAGCTGAGGATTTCTCAAGTTTAATGCTTCCTGAGCTCATTAATTAGTATGCAAAAACAGCACAGTGACTACCAGCACATCACTACAAGTATCTGTCCTGAAAGGTCAGTCCTCTGCAGCAGACTCAATAGAAATATTCTGTGTACAGGCACTATTACTTTTTTCAGCTACAACACCTGATGGACCAACCAACTTTAAATTCAGAGGAAATGACCACCTATTAAATTCGTAAGATCAAATGTTCATTTGAGTTATTCCATCTTGTACAACAGAGAATGTTGTGGCATGAGAAACCCAGGTCAGCAGGGTCATATCTTTCTGTCAGATACCATGTCTGCCACTAAAAATTATGCACATGCTTGCAAGTGCATAATTTTTTAGATTTAGTGTAATATGAGATTTCATTCTAAAAAATATTTGCATGTAAGGAAGCCATCATATTGGGAACTGTCACACTACAGAAAGCTGAATCATTAAAGAGGTCTGCAAACAACTGCAAGACCTAAAATTCACATCACAATTGTACTAAACTGCATATTCCACCAAATACATGCATTCTAATTAGACTATACTGCAAAACAACCCTTCTCAAATACTTTAAATGCATAACAAATAAATGTAAACCATAAGAAATACAGTCACCATTAGAGTGGGGATTTAAAAACTTTTAAAAAAGAAATTTGGAAGTCAGAAACCTGATTACAACTACTCCAAACTTTCAGAAACATGTATTGAATTGTATTGCTACATAATACCTGAGGAATAACAACTCTAACACCTTTTAAAACTCAGAGCTCCCAGGTGGTAGATGTGTCCATGCAAAACAAACAACTACCCAAGAGACAGCAGGCACATTCAAGAGCATCCAGCATGCTGACCCTACTGGGACTTACAAAACTAAGAGCATTAGTTTAAATGGTAAATGGCTACTTCGGAAAAAAAAAACCTACCAAAACCAAACCAAACCAAACCAAACCAAACCAAAACAAAACAAAACAAAACAAACAAACAAACAAAAAAAAAACCAAAAAAAACCAAACCAAAACAAAACAAAACAAAAAAAACCACCCAAACAGGAACAAGAGAGATGGAGGCCTGGCAGGATGAAACTACCCACTTTCATGGGTCCTGTAAATATTGGGGCTATCTCTGCTCAGAAATCTCAGCATACTGACCTCAGCCTTCATATTACAAAATTTTCATGCTCTACTCCTGACACTCAACATCTGACCTCTCTTCATAGTTATTCTTTTACTGTACTCATGTAGTGTATGAGGACTAATCCATCTTCCAAAACATGGTTTGTGCCCTGCTGTTACCAAGTTGCAAAAGATCATGGTTGGTTTGTGGCAGCTAAGTGAACAATTCATACATCATGTAAACCTCTACTGTCACCTCATCCTTCAGGTCACATGTGAAAATCCCTACAAGTGGGAGGAAAGGGCTCCGAACAGTGTGAAAAGCAATGTCAGCACAATCATTTCAGCCTTCTGGAGAGTGATGGTAGTGGCCAGAGCTTCACTTGTGCACTTCATGCACTGAAGCACTGCATTGGCAAATCTATTGTTGCAAGCACCTGAACTCCTGCAGATGACAATTGGCAAGAGCAGCACTGGAAGATGCCAGGGCACCCTGGGGAAACAGCAGGCAGGGAGATTGTCCTTCCAGAGCCTTGCACCCATTTTTTTTTACACACTGTAGGAGCCATACTCAGTACAGCAAACAGCTCCTCTATAGACCATGAACTGACAATTTTGACCAAGTAAAAAAATTGTGTAAGTAAAAAAATTGAAAAATTGTGAAAGGTTCTCTAAGAAGGACATTTCACACACATCCCCAAAATCTGTAAAGGGTAATTACTGTAGCACATGCCACAGTCGAGATGGCCACAATACACAGAGTATCAACACACAATTTGAGAAAGCTTTAAGCATCCCCGTGTAAAATAACACCGTGCCACATCAGAAGGCTCCAGGCAACTGTCCATACAGAGTAGCATCATCTCACCTACAAACTCTTGGCTAGAAATAAATTACAGTCTCTGGCATATGCCAAGCCTTCCACCCCAGGGTTCCCTGAACTTGTTCTCCAGGCTGCTTAACAGAGCAGCTCCCAACATTTTGTATCACCAATCATTCTTCAGTCTTTCTTATCAGCCCCTACCAATAACCAGCTATTGAGCACCTACCATGACCCCATGGATGTCTGGAGTTCTGAACCACCAGATTGAGAGTGAGGGGCTTCCAGCCAGAAGAGAGGTGCAATAGCAGCTACCAGAGCATGGAGTTTGGGAAGCAACAGCACTGACCTTTAGCACCCAGCTTGCTCAGAAACTGCCTCCCAGCCAAACTAACAAAATGCACAACCAAAGCATTTACAGTTTTGAACACTCTCACATACATTAGCCTGATGAGCCATCAGTCCCAAGTTTTATTTATGCTGGAAAAACTTCAGAAGTTCAAAAAAGGCCTCAGCATCCAAGCAAGACACACTGCCAGTCTGCAGCACCTCACTGGGAAACATTGTAGGACCAGTGTCGGAATCTGTGGGTATTGGTGATTCCCAGATTGTAGAAAGTCTCTGTCTTTCTGCCCCGTTGCCAAAGAAGAAGCCATAATTGGTCTGTGCTGTTTTCAAGGCTGTTTATTCTTGCTTATCTCTAACATGTTCTGCTGCCCTGCCGCAGCTCTGTCCTGCAGGGCAGCGTGTGGGGCTCTGCCCTCAGTGGGATGTTACAAACATTAAATACCACAAACTACCTGTGCTGGATTTACAATAACGTGCCAATATCTGTCACCTACGTTGGACAGTGTGTCCCCAGCCTAAACCAACAGAAAAATGCCAACACCACAGTGAAACATGGAGGGCATGAAGAAGGAGAAAAAGGACAAGACACACCCAATTTCCTCCATCTTGTCCCCTCTGAACCCCTAATCTAGAAACCTAAAATTTTACTTTTGCACTCGTGCCACACTTAATTATTACTTATATCAAACACTCAGAGCTGGTAATTCATCCTGTAAGATTGAAAACTCTTTTCCATGGACAGAGATCACAGACAGTGTCTCTCGGGGCTCTGTACAAGGGGGTTCCTGACACCTGCCAGGGTCCCAGACCTGCCAGGGCAGCCAGAGGGAAGCCCTGGATTCCCACAGACCAGTGTGCAATGTGTACCCAAGGAGATGCATGCTGACTAGAATGGGAGTTCACTGTAGGGAAAAACTAGGGACATCAGAGTTATCCTTTCAAACACCCTATTTGCAAGACAAAAACCCACTCTTTTGACTTGGCTTATTTAGAAGCAGATATTACTGATTATGAGTCTTTACGATATCAGCATCATATTGTGGTTTTTTGCAAGGTTGTTTTTGTTTTGTTGTGTTTTAAATCAGTATTTGTGTTGTGCTTGAAATTATTCCATTGTATTTAGACATTAGAATTCCACAGCCCTC